CAGAGCATAGAACAAGATACCAGGTGGGGAAGGGGCAGAGATTCTTTCTAAACAATCTCCTTGAAACAGCTTTTCAAAATGCACTTAAGCATGGTACTCAACCTAAATTTTCCAGACTGAATTATAATTTAGACTCCAAGACCTGTCATTTCTAATAGTTGTCACTGTTGAGCATTGTGGATGTTAGCTGTCATAAATATATGAGTCCTGTCTACACATTCATTTTCCCAATGACCTTATACAATTTGCCCAAAAAACAAATGTTGCTCCTTTTATTCATTTAAAATTTTGAATGCCTCTTATTAAATGTAACAATCCATGGGTGGTACACCCCAAGCTGTCAGCTCCAACGACTAAAATGAAGACGAGAGGAAAACTTGATTCAATTATTAGTTCTAGATAAACTGAATGCACGGTTCTGCTAGATAAGAGTTTGAGGCAATCCCAGCTCAAGTGTCCATGCCCACAGTGAAGCAAGAATACCAAATGCATAAGCCCTAGCAATATTTTCTTGACGTGTTTTCAGAGAATATTACTTCCTACGATAACATTCTCCTTAAAGAACTCTCCTCCGCCATTCCTAACAGTACTAATATCTATCAAACATATATCGTATTATGCTTTCTTGAGATTTTAAACACAAAATATCCCAGTGGGATATAAATAAGAATGAGTAGAATGCCTCCTCTCATTTCACAAATGCGTAAATTAGTCACAGATGGTACAAATGAGTCACCCCAAACCACACAGAGGTAGCTCATGGAAGAATCACAGGTAAGGTTAAGTCAGGGGTTTGAGTAATTGGTGTGACTGCTTCGATTCACCGAGCTGCCAACCCAAAATATGCTGATGTCAATAGTGGGAGGCCAGTGTGGTAATTAACTGTTTCACTGATTTTAAAGATAGGGTAAGTTCTATAGTTGATTCTCTTCATGAAAGCACACTAAAAATTTTTTTAAATGGAATTAATTAATAAAACTGAAATTTATTGAGGAGATATTTAGATGAGTGCTTACTACACGTCAGGCACTGTTGTAGATGCTTGTGATAGGTATCAGTGAACCAAGGAACAAGACAGGCAAAAATCCCTGGCCTACATTCTAGCAGAAGAGACAAAGATAAGCAATTGATATAATGGTAATAAATAACTAGCTAAATAAATAATCTTGTATATTAAAAGATGAGTGCTAAAGAACAACAAAGAAAAAAATGAAGTTGAGGAAAAGGCATCAGGATTGCTGGGGGGGTAGACAGGTTGGAGTATTTATGAGATTGGTCAAGGTGGGCCTCCTTGAGAAGCTGAGATCAACGGAAATCCCGGGAAAGAGGGAACAGCCAGGAAGAAAGGCCCCGCAGAGCTTCCTGGTGTGCTCAAAGAACGGGAAAGAAGCCAGTGTGACTGAAGCAGTGTTAGCAAGAAGGAGAGTCATGTAAGGTGAGGCCAGAGAAAGAACAGAGACAGATCACACAGGGCCTTCGCGGCGACCACAGAAATCCAGCTTTTATTATAAATGAATGCGGCACCAATGCAGGGCTTTGAACAGTTGAGGGGCATAATCTGACTTAAATTTTTAAAGGGATCTATTACTAATCCATTAAATACCTTAAAATTTTATCACTCAATATATTATATAATCTTTGCCATACACATGACTCATGATAGACTCTCCTCCTCTCAGATGAAATACTATTACTCCCATTTTCCCAAAAAAAAATATCAAGGCTCAGAATGTCTAAGTATCTTATCTAGAGTAAGACCTAGTAAGTAGTAGAGCCAGGTGAAAAAAACAATAATTTTTCTAACTCACAGCTCAAAACTGGTTCCTCTCTCCTAAGTACTCATTTATATAAAAGTTATCAAGAGAAAGAATAATAATTGAGATCAAGTAACTGGATTATCCATCAATAGAGATATTCAGTTTGATATATTAAAATTGAATCAAACTCATTTTCCCTTACTATTAGTTACCGGGACATAATGATACAGGTAATTTCCCTGAACTTCCTACTTGAAATGACATGTGCACATTTAGGCTGAGAATTCTGAATGCAGAAGTCATCATAATAATAATCTAAATTTGCAACAGTATATTTAGAAAGTTATTCAAAGTCTTTAGTTATTGTCATTTATTAACTGTCCTTTATTAAACACCAGTCACTGTGCTAAATTCATTGCATATATCACTGTATTTAATATTCAGCAAAAACTCTAAGTAAGAATGGTAGTAGAAACCCCATTTTATAGATGCCAAGTCTGAATCCAGAGAGGCTAAGTATTGAAGGTCACACACAATTGCTAAGTATCAGAGCTGGGATTCTACCTGAATCTTCGCAGTTCAAAGCTAGGTTCTCCTCACTCAGCCACCTCGCCCTCCTGCAGCAGAACACTCAACATATCACCTCAACATTCCTAACTAAAAGGTCAGCCAGATATGAGTAGTCCCATTTTCCAGATGATTAACTGCTTACAGAAACGTTAATCAAGCATCAACATTTATTGATGGCCACAATATGCAAATTAATAGTTGCTGAAAGAACAGGATTTATAATACAATATCGTGCCTCAGTGAACTTACAATCTTACCAAGGTAACAAGAGACATATAAAAATGTCACAGATAATACAAGATAGCACATAATACATACCAAATGAGATACAGAGCCAACGACTTCCAAAAAAAAAAAAAAAAATTCAACAGAGAGAAAATTGAATCAATTCAGTTAAGAAAGATCTTTACTAAAGAGGGCTAGTGTTAAGATGACTCTTACAGGAAATGTGGGCTTTAGATCAGCAGGGAGGACAAGGAAAAACCATTCCGGGCACAGGGTATCACATAGCCAAAGGCCAAGGGAGCTGATGGAAATGAATTCACAAGAGAAAATGAATAGATGCATTTGAAGTGCAGGATGAATGGGAGGTGAGGTAAAGGAGTCAATGAAGCCAGAGAATCAGAGCGTTAGGAATCAAAGGGAGAAGGGAAGGAATTTATATTTGTTGAACTGCTAGTACGTAGCACATGCTTTGTGTACACTTCTCTTTGTGTAATCCTTGCAACAACACTGTGAGATGGAAAGGTAGATACATTGTAGCCATTTTCAATTATCTTGCCAAGGCACAGCTTTGCGTGTGTGGATGGAGCAGAGCTTTGGTTTAGATCCGTCTGCCTCCAAGGACTATGTTCTTTCCACTATCCCTCAGCACCATCTACCAAAGGCAGTGGAGAGCCACCAGAATATTAGATCAAGAGAAAAGAGTGGTACATGAAAAGGAGTATAAGACTAAAAGACAACTCATCTGACTGTGAGATATTAGCACATGTTCAGTATCAGAAGATCGGGAAGACAATAAGGCAAGAAAGGCCACTTAGTATAGTGCATTAGCCCAAATAACAAGGTAAAGAGAACCTCTGTTTCAGTGTGGACAATGGAAAGAAAAATGTAAGAGATACTAAAAAGAAATATAAAGAGCTCAATGGCAATACCTTTAGGACTTAAGTTTTAGGACTTAAGTTTAATCGGTTTCTAATATCTAATCATACACCCAGAGGGTAAATATTCCTCCTGAAAACTCAAAAGGGACAAAGTCCACAGTCTAGCTTGAAGATTTTAAGATTATTTTTGACAGCATATGATTTATTTAAAATAATAAAATCTTGGCTTAGAGAAAAGATCTGCCTTAGTGCAATCTACCTCTTAAACCACTATCATGAATTATCGCAGCCTTATGCTAATTTTACTTTCCTTACAGTGGTTTGGTAATAGTTTATTGCCACATATACTAACATGGACAATAATTCCTTATAGTCATGCTCATTAGACATAATTAATTACTAAGGAGATATCCTTTTCTTTCTTTCTTTTTGTATATTACTACGAGTATATTAATTGAATTCTCTCTTAGGAATACAATGTATCATATTTGTAAACACGATTCCTCCCTGGGAGTTCTCTCTTAAAATGCGAGGTACCACTCAGGGATTTAAGTCAAACTAATAGCAAATAAATGGCATATTATTTAACAAGTTGGGTCTCTTCTGATTTTTTCTTACTCCTGGACAATCCAAACCATGCAATTGCCAAAGATGTACATAAAAGTGACAACCACCTATATTTTTCAAAGGAATTATTTGCATAAATATTCAGGCATTTAGTCAACACAAATCTTTTCAAGCAACTTAGTATTGCAATAACCAGGCTAACGATATATATATATACACATATCTTTCATTAGTATCAAATGTTCAAGTAATTCATCTTAATATTGCATTAACTGTGAAAATAAACATCTTAACAATTATGAAACATCCATGTGATAAATGTGATAATTAAAATATAACCTATTAGCCCAGCCTAATTTCCTTTACCTTTCTGGATTAAAATAGCTTTATTTCTCTGAGTTGAAAATTAGTGTTTAAATTTGAAATGAAACTATGGCACAATCCAATAATTTAGGCCTATACCTAATGTAGATCTAAAACATCTTTGAAAGTTTCAAGAATGTCAAACCTGTGCTTTATATTAGAAATATCATATACATGTGTAAAGAAATATCATAGACTCCTACAAAGTATATCTGTTAAATTTCAACCCACATATTCTTTTATATTTTTATGTTCCTTATTTCTGTATATACAGACTGGTGTGAAAGTCTGATGAAAGAAAGCAAAGATACTAGACAAGCATATCTGCTCAGTAATGGTAGACGTTAACATACCCTAAGTTTGAAAAACTTAGCCATTAGAAATAAAGTAATTTAAAAACTATTCATGCAGGAAGTCTGGGCTCCACATAACTTTTGGCATTCTATGAAAGATATCTTAAATACATTATGTGTATATAAAAGGAATCACAGATAATGTTTATTTCATATATTTTCTCTCCCTTATCTATGATTTTAAACACATATTGATACATGCATATATAAAATATAATAGGAATATTACCCTTAACTTGTAAAGGCATTATTTTGCGAGAGTTTAAAAAAAGGAAAACTATTTTTACCTCCCAGTCCTGGTCTAAGCCGATTATCATAACCATCCAGAAGTCTGTCTAGAATTCTCGTAAAGATGGTAATGTTATTTTTAGCCTCATCTTCTTGGATGTTAGCCAGCACCAACCTAAACAGATAATTTTACAAGCTGATATATATATATACACATATGTGTGTTTTGCAAATGCCAACATGCTCTCCTTCCTTAATTTGAATTTTAAGACTCCATAAGATATTAGTGTCACCCATTTTCCTTTTTTTCATCTTTTATAAATATCAGTGTGTCTACAGAGAAGGTAAACGTGGTGTTGAAAAATAGACACTAAATAGTAGATTATCAGAAGTTTGATGTTAAAATTATTTGAGAGTTCTACCACTTAGCATTCTATGTGAACTATTCATTTTTTTTTTCTAAAATTCATTCCCTAGAATATATTATGATTGTAGATTATCACATGCAGACACTATTAGTAATGCCATTCTGCAGTCAGAAAAGTGCAATAATCAAATGGACTCCCGAAATAACTCTTCAGCGTTTCGAATATTAATTGGAAAATAAATTGCCTCCTTGGAGGGAAAAAATTTTTCTATCTCCCTCATAAATGTATTTCTTTTTCTCTTTATGTCTTTTTCTCTTTTAAACCAGGATCATCTCCTTACTTTGGGTATACCTCCACCCAATGGCCAAGTGCAATATAGACATCAGGGAAACTCCGCTGGCTGCGGGCCAGGCTCCACTGTAGCCAGGAGGGGGAGGTGGGCTCGGAAAGCTTCGGCGGCACACACAGCTGCAGCGAGCCTCGGCGAGCTACTTCCTCCTGGCTGGTCTCAGAGATACCGATAAAGGGGTGAAATAAAGATTACAACGCCCAGCTGCTTCCTTTTGGTGATAAATTTGTAGAAAGAACAAATGGTCTTAAAATATTATCAGAAAGGGTTTAGAAATTGTAATTTTTCTCCATTATTTCTCCATCATAAAGCCAGACACCTGATTTTGTGACATCCAGCAATTTGGTGCAAAAGCAACTGAATGTATAAAACAGAATGTCCCTTTTCACTGCCATTTTTTTTTTTTCTCAGAATGATTCAGAGATTTAAATTACTGGCCCCAAAAAAGAATCATTTATATAATAGAATAAAATACTGGCATAAGCATTACTGGTCAAATATAGAACAGAAAACTAGTAGAGAGAAATATGGTTAAGTACTGAGAATGTTCAATGGTTATTAACTGATCATGGATTGTTCTCTCCTTTAAAATCAAAGATTATATGTAATTACATTCCGATCAAGGTGCACTGTACAAAATACAACTGACGGTGTCCATTTGCACTTAAATGACTATGGAGTTAGGAGCTAAAAATAATCATAACACTCAAAATTTGGGAACCAACTTCAAACAAATAGTGCTTTAACAGCAGAGATAATATTAAAACAGTGGCAAAAGATAAATGTTTACAAATTAAATAAGTATACTAGTTTATACACTGTAGCCTCAAAAGTTTCTATATTGCCTACTTAAGCTAATTTTAAAACCAATCCCTAAGATATTCATAAAGTTCTATATAGAAATTTTCTCTCAAAAGTGTTTCTTAATCGCATTTCATATTTTCCTTCTAAAGTCAATATGTAGTTGCTAAATGTGTAGATATTTTCTGATTAAAAATAAGCCTTTATAAATAGATTTCTTCTCAATTCTAAAAAATACATTTTCGTACTTTGACCATTACTTGAATAGGAAAATTAAAAATTAAAAGAGAAATAAAGGCATAATAAAGACTTACTGGGTTTTTTTTTTTAAGGAATGGCTATAGGAACATTCTTATAAAACATGTATTTTAAGTCCTCTAGTATTTTGAAAATCGTATCCTAAAACCATTAAATAAAGGATGCCCACTGAGTATGAAAACCAGAAAAGACCGTACAACTAAGATAAAGTTATTGAAAGCAATAAAAATAAATTTCATGTTTGTAGAGTATAGGCAAAGGAAAATTAGTTATACATTTGAAATAAGTATACTTGACGACAGTAACCATTTGCGGAATAAAAGATCTCTAAATTAATAATACAAAAAGTTGATTAATAAATCAAGCTTTTGTTTTATTGTTTGTGATTTTGAAGCTGTATACTACCTCCACCTAGAGGTTTAAGACTCACACATCATTTGGGTTTCCTATGTTGACTAAAAAAAGCCAAGATCATTAAGGAAAAAAAGAGAAAAATTAACTTAACACTCAAATCATTTAGCTGGTACTTTTCTATTTGACTTAAAGGAAAACTTGGCTTTCTTACTGAATGCTGGTATTATTATAAGTGGTATTATTATAAGTAACCACTTCAATTTCTTGTTAGAACATGCCATTCAAAAGACATTCTTTAGTGAATTTTTTGCATAGAAAATGTTTTTGTTCACTTTTTTTATCACTAAAAACAACAGGCAGTGAACTTTTTATACTCTCTGCTACTCCACAGTTCACTTTCCTGGTACAAACCTTTTTCTGGAAAATAATTCTTCAAAACACTCTAGATTCTCAAAAGCCACCCCTGCAACGACGGCATGCAAGAAACACACCTTTACCCTGAATTAAGAGTCAAATACAATAAACGAATGTCTCACCTGGCTGGGTCCCATACCAAGAAAACAAGCAGCAGCAACTGCATGTTGTGGGTGTTCAATTTTGTCTTCATCGCCACTCTTTGCAAAGCCATAGGAGAAAACCAAAATACACTTAAAATTGCTTTCACTCCCACCATCCGAAGAGCCCAAAAGAATGTCCTTTCAATTAGGAATTGGATTTAAAGCTGTGGAGATCACTCCACTGGACTGAGTGTAGGGCGTGATGATTGGAGGAGGGGAATTTCTTTCTTTTTTTCTTTCTTTTTTTTTTGACATCAAGGTGACCAAGTAATCAGACTTTGCCATGCCAGGAACTTCCCCCAGCCTCATTGTCAGCAAACACCGTTCTGTGCACATATAATAACACCCGGGACTCCAAACTGACATATGAGGTGGAGAAGAGAATGGGTTGGAGGGGAGACTAGAAAAGGGGAGGAGAGAGAGGTACTTCACGCCACAACCCCCTCAACCAAGACCACCCCCGCAACCACAGCGGGAAAAGCCAGGGACAGCCAGCCCACTCTCTCAATTATTCTTTTCATTACGGTGAACTGTGATCCTCACGTCTTCACTCCCCCTAACAAATAAAATGATAAAATAATAGAATAAAAATCTCCTTCCTTGACCACCCACGGTTGCCCACGACCACGTCTCGGAGGCAGCCAGGTTCAGATCCAGAGCTCCGAAACGACGCGTTCTGACAGCCGCTCAGGAGCCTGCGACCACGATCGGAGAAGGAGCTTGAGGTTCCGAATGGAACCCCAGCCAGGCAGGCAGCGGCAGTCACGGCGTGCAAAGTTGGAGACTATAAAAGAGCCAGGCTAACGTGCTGCCGGGCAGGAGGCTTGGATTTCATTGTAGTTGCAAATACGCTTCTGGTGATGATTATTTTTTAAACGGGCTGGGGGAGGAGGTGGGAGAACGGATCCTCCCGGGTTCGCGGGGAGCACGGGAGACGCGGTGGGGGGAGGAGGCATGCACGCGAGGCAGAGGCGAGCGAGCAGGGGTCCCCGCCGGGACCACCCTACCTGAGACCGCGAGCGGAATTCGGTGTTTTCCTCCCTGTGCCCTGAGCTCGAGCAGACAGAAAACTTGAGAGAGGCGGAGACGCGAGCGGGAGCGGGAGCCCGCAGCAGCCGGGAGCGGGAGGGAGCGCGGGGAGCGGCGGCGCGAGGTGTAGACGGAGGCGCAGGCGTTCGTAGTGGCGGAGATGGGCGGAGGCGGAGGGGGAGGGGGGGGAGGAGGAGGAGGAGGAGGAGGAGGAGGAAGAGGAGGAGGGGACGCGAAGGCAGAGCCCGGCGGGGGGACGGCGCGTGCGGAGGCGCGGCGCGCGCAGGCGGCGGAGGAGGAGGAGGAGGAGGAAGAGGAGGAGGGGACGCGAAGGCAGAGCCCGGCGGGGGGACGGCGCGTGCGGAGGCGCGGCGCGCGCAGGCGGCGGCGGGCACGAGCCCCGCGCCTGGAGGAGGAGGAGCCTGGCCCGGGAGGAGGGCACGAGGCGCCCGGGAGCGCGGGGACCCCCTCCGCGCCCACGCCGCGGCCCGCGCGCGCTCCCGGGCGGCCCCGACGGTCGCGGGGGTCCGGGGGCGCCGAGGCGGCCGAGCCCTGGAGCCCGGGCCGCGCCCCGCCGCCGTCCCCGGCGTCCCCGGCTCCGGGCGGAGGCAGCGGGGGCGTCTCGCCTCCACCTAGTCATCGGCGCGGCCACGCGGCCGAGCGCAGGCTTGCAGCGCGGGGTCGGCGGGGGTTCCCTTCGCGCCCTGCGGTCCGCGCGCAGCCCGCCCCCCGGCTCCGGGCGCCCCGGCTCCCCGAGCCCCCTGCAGGCCGGACACACGCGGGAGCCTCCGTCTGCCACCGGCCTCTTCCCCGCGCCCTGCCCGTCCGGCGTGCAAACTCCATCGACAGCTGCGAAAAGTTTGCATCAGCCCGGAGCAAGGCGGCACCTGCTGTGCTTCTGCCGTCTCTGCAGCCGATGGGGGGCGGGAGGGGAGGCAGGGTCGAGGTTTTCCCCCTTGGGGGCGTTTTGCTGGCAGAGGGACTTGGGATTCTATCCCCCTCTTACACTTCCAGCGTTGTGTGTTTGATCTGTCTCGTTTCTCTTCTGTTTTATCTGAGGCGATAAAATCCAAACGTGCAACTTGAACAACAAAAAAAAGACATTTTCCTTTTTGTGCTGCACATAAGACAGAATGTCATGCACCTTCCACTAAAGCAAAGCAGAGACGTTGTTTATCTCTTCCAGAAGTTGTTATCCACGTGTTTTAAAGGGAAGGAAAAAGAGATAAGTATGCTGATAGGTTTCTGTATTTTACATTCAGAGTCAATATGTGCCAAACACTTCAATTTTGTTAGTTATGCACCAAAAATTCAGATGTTTTTCCTAGATGGTGCAGTTTTCCTAACAGGCACTGCTAATCTATAGTAAATGTAAGCTTTGCTTTGAAGATTATGTGAGGAGAGTAAAACCTTTACATTGTAAATATTTCAAGCTGTCCTTTTTAACCTATTAATCACCTTTCTGGATGAGCATTTACTATGCTACAACCTAAACAAACATTTGCTGTCTTATTTAGCTGGCCCTGTGAAAAATGGAGCACCACCCAGCTTTCTCCTTCGTCATTAATATTCTTTTCCTGACTTGCCCATTGCAGAGTCTAATTGAAATTCACAAAGATGAAAAGCATGCCATTTAAAACCTTGTAACCAGGGAATCTAAACGTCTTATAGTTGGCGCGAACACTCCACTTCCTACTGTATTTTCCTATTTTCCATTTCTATGAGTCAATCTTCATTAAGATCTCTGTCACTTCACCATTTATATTACTCCTAAATTGTTTATATTTTGATAATGGAAGTTGAGCAGTGAATGGTTTCTTCACAGCCTTAATTGCTCTACTCCAACAAAATTTCTCTCTAATAAATGTCACAATTTTTGAAAATACATTCATATATTATTCTTATACTTAACCACTATGATCTTTTCCCCAGATTCTGATACCAAATTGTAGATTTTGGTTTTAATTGTTTTATTTCAAAATTTTTAGCAATTAGAAGGATATGTTCTGAAAAATCAGTTTTTCCCTTTAGCACCCTTATTAAATTTGTAATTTCATTGACATATGACCCACTTATATGGAACTTCACAAACTTGCGGGTATTTTGGATGATTTTCCCCATTTGCTATTTTTTTTAATGTGTATGCTATTAATAGAAGAGTCAACAGTTCAATATGCATTTACTAGAGAAAGACCGTAAAAGCTAGCTTTTTAAAAGTTCCATTATAAACTCCTGAATTTTAGGTCTTCCCCACAAAATGTTTTGTGATTTCATTAATAGTGGATAGCTGTGATTTGAACTTCAAAGTACCTTAGGGGAAATGGAAATCAGAAAAGCTGATTGCAGGCAGCAGACCTCTGCTTTATTGCTATACGTATACTGATATTTCATTGTATTACTAGGCCAGCCAGATTTCTTTGGAAATTGGGAGGATTGTCCAGCTTCCCCAGACATCTGACAAATCCAGCCTGATTCTCTTCTCTGCTCTCTGTGACAGAGTGCAGGTTAACTGCCTGAGAGTTGAGAGCCAGCCTGTGTGGGTCGTGACTAAGCTCTTCCTACCCACTCTTTTTGAAGCATGTCCTAAGGCAGCCAATCCTGGGGAAGAATTGGCAACTAATTGGTTGCCAGTAAATCCATTCCCACCCAGGCTTGGGCAGTGCAAAACCTTCCGTTTTGAACTTGTTTAAATTACTATCCCACAAATTAGATTTGGGGGGTGGGTAGTCAATTCTGGTATATTCCCCATCCTCAAAATCCAAGTCCCTGAGGGAATTTCCACATGGAGACCAAAAATAAAAGAAAGCTGAAGAACTGAGGGATCTTGGTTTCGCCTGATATTTTTTCTTTCCTGATATCTCACAATATTGTACAATTTTAAAATTTCTTACAAAAACTGTTCATGTTTTTGAACAGATATTTTGTAGAGCTTCCATTTTTAGGGCACTACTGCCCTAACTACTACTTTATATACCCTAGGGTCTGTCATGAATCTTTAAGCTTTCTATGAGATGATATGTGTATATAAGTATATAGAACATATGTGTATATAATATATGTATACTTATATACATGTATACAGACATGTGGATATATATGTAAATAAATGGATAGAGATATATATATATATGAACTAATAAAAATAGACAAGAGGATTTTAATGTGAATAGCATTTAAATAAAACATTTCTACAAAATGCACTTAGTCTTAATTACTACATAATTTGATCATAGTGATTATTACATACTTTGAAAAAAATATCAGATTTCAACAAGAATAGCATCTCACTACATTAATATATATATTTACATATATATTGTTTAAAATATGAGTATGTATTTCATATAATAAATTTGTGAACACCTTACATACCTTTTGATGTGATTCATTCATTCCAATGAGGCTACAGATTTATGAAAAATTAGGAACTAAAGCACAGATTACCCTGTTTTCACAGAATTAAATATTACCTTGTACTTTTCCTTCTGAATGCCTTACTAATTTCAAAATGTGCTTGGAGTATAAGTCTGTTCTCACATATTCATCACACTACCAAAAAAAAAAAAAACTGGAACCAATACCCATTTGGCAATTCTCAAGTTGAAATCATGGGTTGGTCAAGCTCCATCTTTCCTGTAAGTTGCATTTAGATGGAAGGTTAGCCTCTGAGGTTCTGAAAGAAGAACAGCTGTAAAGTGGGAGTAACTAGTTTGAAAAACAAATAATTCCAAAATTACCCTCTTACTTTAATGTATTTAGGTCACATTTCATTAGAGCTAAATATATCATGTATACTAGCTTGGATAAACTATGCACATTACCTTCTCCGAATAGTCCGTTAGCAATTCTGTTTATACAATAATCTTCCATATCCTTATCCAACTTGCAAATCGAATATATCAAGCATTCAGGATATCCTGGTGGTTTCTGAGATTTTAAAAACTATTTATATCATCACACACGTACAGAGTAATTTGTCAGGAAATTCTTTTGCCTTCCTTTTGAGAAATTATAGGTAGAA